TGCTGATTTCTGCCAGGAGTTCACATGCCTCCAAGCCATCTGATCACATCTGTACCAGTCTCTCCCTCTCTAAGAGTAAAATTTGACAACCTTTCTTTCCAGCTCTCCTCTGATGGGTTCTGGCTCGGTGTCTGTGTTTAAAGCAACTCCTTTGAGTTTTTCATGTGTTCCTTGTTGGTTTTCTGAAAGCTATCTCCCACCTTGCCTCTGTCTGAATATACCTTTTTTCCTCTGTCTTGGAAGCTCCCCTTCCTCAGACCCATGTGTTCTTATCTTCTACTGTCTGTTGCCGTAGGAATCTCCTTTTAGCGATTAAAAACAATTAACAGGCTGGCTAAAGCAGCAACTTACAGCCTGTTTTGCTGCCAAACGCTTGATTATAATCAATGTAGCCTAGGTCAGGTCTTGTGGCACCTCTTAGCTCACCGTAAGGGTTCCTATGCTATTACGCTTCACCTTAGCCAAAAATGCCAAGAAGCAACTCTACCTGCCCCTTATTTCTGGCCTATCTCCCTTTTCAGTCCCATAATTCCTAGGTATGCCGGGCAGAACCAGAGTTGGCCATCCCAAAACCTTGTCTCTTGAAGTCCTCCTTGTCACACACAAGGACATGGAATGTGCAACACACAGTGCAAAGCCTCTCAACTCCATTCCTGGCTTCTCCGCTGACCTGTTATGTGACCTTGAGCAAATGTATTTAAATTTAGCAGTCATTGCAAATCACTTTCGGCACTTTTGTGCCAAGTGCAACTCATCTATAAAACTAATATTATGGCTTATATTTTCAAAGGAGTTTAACGCAAATACTCCAGTCCACGTATTAGTTTCGGGCTAACTTCAGTAGGCTGCGTTGCAGGTACCAACTTCAAATATGATCCTATCGTTATTCTTTATTCTTCATGCTAATTGTAAGGAACCGGCATTCTCCTTATCCAGTAAGCATTATTCTTTTATAGTGAACTTATCTATGAGGTGCTCAGAAGTACTAAAACATACTTATAGACATATTCTTTCTCATAAGATACATACCTTCATCAACTGAAAAAAACAAAAGAAAGGGTGAAAAGATCTCAAGGCAAACATCCAAATACTGAAGTAAACAAACATCTAAAAATAGCTTCAGTTAGACAAATCAATATTTATTCATCTTTGAGTTTATTGATTTTTTATAAGTTTTTTTGCGACATGTTCTGCCACTTTTGCTCAGACTGAACAGGGAAAAACAACTCATGTTCCTGAGTGTCACTGCTGGTCGGGTTTCTAAACTCTGTTATGCATGTTGGTGAACTGTCCATGTTATCTGTTTCTGGTTACTTCAAGCAACCTATCTTAGGAGCTATTCCTTTGAAGGTACCTACTTCTCTCCACTGCATATGCAAGTGTGGTGTCCTACCTTTGAACCGTTGGATTGCATCTAAGATAGTTATCTAAATCAGTAGAAATATATCTGCTATGGTGATTCATTATCGATTCTAAAATGAATCTTTGGTTATTCTGAAAAAATTAAATTAACTGAGTTCCAAGCATACATGCCTTGCCCAAAGGGTTATTTCATTGCTGGATTAATATCTATGCTGCTTATTGAATTAAGTGACCTTCCTTCAGTATGGACAAAGATAGTCTGGAAGATTTTGACTGAGATCAAAGTTTTAAACAAGGGTTTTGACAAAGTTCCCAGCAAATAAACAAG